GTTATTTCTTTTCAGAGTCGGGACCCTAACATTTTCATCATTCTCGAACGTCGCCTGGACGTTTCCAAGTACCTCAAACAAGGTCTAATAAACCTCGTATTTATTGACTTGCGACGACAATGGTACAAATCAAGACTGATGGACCCCCTGTACTTTCGACTGGTCAGGGGGATACTTTGCTGGACTTTCTCTTAGACCGTACCAAAGTATTTAAATTATTCGTCCTTTCCAGGGGTCTTTACGGTAAACCCGGGACTTTTGGTAAGTTTTACGAAATATTCTAGGGTTCGTTCGTCATAAAACTTTAGATAAGACAAACTGTGTTGTCCATTCGGTCACATTTGCTGGGACAGTCTTGTCCTCACTACACTATTTAATTGAACTATTCACATCTTAAACTGCACTGTAACTTTTATCCATGTATTTTTTCTTTTAATGTTTATTTTATTATCTTTTCTTTTTAATGACTGATTTTAAATGCCATTTTCTTAATGTCTTTCATTTTTTGTAAAGCACTTTGAATTGCCTTGTGTTGAAAGGTGCTATATAAATAAACTTGCCTTGCCTTGCCTTGCCTTTTCAGTTGTCATTTCTTAACTTAGACATCACTCGTCCTGTTCTTGTGTGTCTCAAACAGTACCTGCACGAATGGGGAAATGGTGTGCGGAGCAGCTTCCTGTCCTGGTGAGTGATTGTTTATTCATGAAGTGCAGATTTAAATGTACCTTTACTCTTCTCTCTTGCTCTCTTGAAGTTTTTTTTCTCATTCGTGTCTCATTTTCTGTCTTTTATCCTGCTGTGTGTCTCAGTGGACTGTGGCTGGAGCGACTGGACCCAGTGGAGCGCTTGCAGTCGAACATGTGATGTCGGGGTGAGAAGGCGTTACCGTTCGGGAACCAATCCTCCTGCAGCTTTCGGGGGTCGTCCTTGCAGAGGAGACAGAGTCGGAATTGATACCTGCAGCCTTGAACCATGCTTCGGTGAGTAGAAGAACTTTGTTACTAATGTTATTGTATACATAATCCATGTTTTGAAAATAACTTTAAGACAGTGTCAAGTATCAAGGAATCAAATATAGTTGTGATATGTCTGAAGGGGTTAAGGAGCCATGGAGTGCGTGGTCGACGTGCTCGGTGACGTGTGGAGGAGGGTACAGGGCCCGGACCCGCGGGCCTATCCGGATCCACGGCACCTCTCAGCAGTTCAGCGCATGTAACCTGCAGGCCTGTGGTACAGCAAGTCCTACCCTCTCATAAATATGGTCATATTTAATATCAGAAATATATACATTTGTACAATAAGGCAGCTACATGTAGTATACAATCTCTGTTTTTTTTTGTATTGCACAAAATCAAGTTTTTGCAAGAGTAAACAAGAAGAAGAAGATGGACCTTTATTTATCCCCAGTTTTGCCCTCTGCTTTTTGGATGCATGCACATGCTACTTATATAGGTACATACAAATACACACAGTTGTGTTTTGTGTGCACACATGCACATACAGATATAAATACACACAGTTATATATTCACACATGCATTGAGAGGTCCAGAACGGAGAGACAGCCAGTCTAGCCGGCGCCAGGAGAAGTTGGGGGTTAGGTGTCCTCTCCAGTACCAGTCCACACTCCGTATTGTTTTTGGTCCTACCACTGTCACCCATATCAATAAGAAGAAACATTTATGAAAAATGTATAGAGGAACATGGAAAACTCCTACAAAAATAATAGATAGGAGGTTTTATTCTAGGATATCAAATCCTAGCATGTAAAATGCAAAAAGTCGTGATGATGATGATGATGATGATGATGATTATTAGTTTTTGACAACACTGAGAATGTTTGAATTGCTCCCTGCTTGGACTGTGTGTTGCTGTCTCAGGAGAGGACAGGGTGTGTCCTCCAGGCCAGCAGTGGAAGCAGTGTGTGAAGGGAGCTGTGTCTTGTACAGACCTCACAATGGACCTCGGCAGGAACTGCACACCAGGCTGCCAGTGTCCACACGGATCTGTCCAACAGGTGGGTGGGGGGGATTACCACAGACACATGTGCACAAACAAATGCACAGTAATCAGGGTCTTACTGTTCTTGGTCTGACATATTTACAGGATGGTGTGTGTGTTCGGGAGTCTAAATGTCGCTGTGACTTGGATGGAGAACAGTACCATCCAGGAGAAACTGTGCCATCAGACTGCAACAACTGGTACGGAAACTTAAATCATGAATTGCCCTTTGAGCCATAATGAGGAAAATGCCACCAGCATGTGCTTCCTTTCTTTGGAATATAGAGAAAAATCTAAATAACGATTTCACTTGTGCGTTTTTATTTCAGTACTTGTGAAGCAGGGAGGCTGGTAAACTGCTCTCAAGTCAGATGCAATGGTAGGCAAAACACTTTGAATGTGTCTTCAATACAGACACTGTTTCTGTGCTTTCTTTTCATAGCTATACAAATTATTGTTATAATAGGTATTTTTTTCCCATTGTTTGAATAACAGTAACGGTTGTTTCTATGTCAATATTGCTCATTGTAAAGTGACTACTAAGACTTAACTTTGAAACTTGATAAATAATAGTCAAAATAGACGATATGAAACGCCATACTAAGTGAAAATGAAGCTCTAGTGATGCAAAACAACATTCACCATGATTGACTTGCAATTCTTCCTCTTCTACCTCATTGATCCACGCTGTATTTTTGTATTCTATTCCAACACTCACTCTCTCCAGTGGATGGTCAGTGGTCATCCTGGACCCCCTGGGGTCGGTGTTCGGTGTCGTGCGGAGCAGGTCTTCAGTCTCGCTACCGCTTCTGTTCCAGCCCCGAGCGCTCGGGCAGTGGTCTGCCATGTCTGGGTCCTCACAGAGAGGACCAAGTCTGCCTCGCTGCTCCATGTGACCGTCAGTTTGTTTCTGGGGTTTTCCTGTGTTTCCTTACAATTGAAAATAGACAGTGAAAAGGTTACAGTGTCTTCCTGAGAACAAGGTTTCCAATGTCATGGAAAATAAACAAGGAGAGATTGCTTGTCTAGATCTTGCTGCTGTTGGACAGGTTCTTCTTTTACAGCTCATATGGGAGTGTGTTTGTTGCTTTCAGAAGCCATATGAATACAGTTGGGTGCCGATAATGGGTCGCTTGATTTATAGCAGAGTCTCCACAAACGATGCAGCAATGCATTTGTCGTCTCTGGGGAATCTGCTGAAGCTGATGCTTCCGGGCAACTTGAGAAAAAGGAGCTAGAGAGAGAAGATGGATGCAGTCAGAGCAGACGGGTGTTGGCTGGGAAGCAGTACAGTTGTCTAGTGCAGGGGTTCCCAAAGTGGGGGTCACGAGACCCCGAGCTGGGGTCGCGAGATGATTACAAAATAAAAATGGAAAATTTAAAAAAATTAATTAAAAAAATGAATCAATTTTTTTTAATCAATTTTTTATTTTTTATTATTATTAATAATAACGTTTGCATAGACTCTATGCAAACGTTATTATTAATAATAATAAAAAATAAAAAATTGATTAAAAAAAATTGATTCATTTTTTTAATTAATTTTTTTAAATTTTCCATTTTT